TATGTATGTATGTATGTATGTGCACGCTGAACGCCTTTGAGGACAGAGGCATCATTGGAAGCTCAAGCATGTCTTGTAGGGCGAAAAGCTGGGACATTACGGACATCCCAACTCTACGGCTTAAAACCCATCTGGCTTTCTGTGAGTAAACACCTGGCCCTAAGCCCGGAGGGTTTGGGTTTGAGGTCCACAGCTCTTGAGTTCTACTCTCTTGAGGGCTTGCTGTCCAACTTGCAGTTCATGCTTCCTTCAGTGATTCTAAATGTTAAAGGCTTGACATGGGAGATGCCTCTGACTAGCCACATGACCCTCATGTAGGTTTTAGCCTATCTTATTTCTCCGTGGTCTGGCATATCGTACGTGCATGTGCATTTAGGGTTTGATGTTGAGCCTGGTGTTCTGCAACTCCCACTTCTGCTTGAGTCATCAGCAGCCTTCTTTGGGTTCAGACTACCCTAAACCCTAAGCCGAAGGAGCCTTCCGTTGACAAGCAAGAGAATCCCAAAACTCCAAGCCCTCTGTGTCTTCCTTGGAAGTCAGGACGATTTCGTGCTCCATGGGCTTGCTCCCTAGCGGCTTTAGGATTTGATTTTTAGTTCTTCCTTATAAAACGGACCCGAAAAGGGACCCTAATTTGGAAAGCTACGCTAAGTGGCGTGGAAGATCCCGATGCCCAAGGCAAAGCACGTGGGCCGACTTTCTGGTCTGGCAGAGCGCTCTGACGCCATGGCTCCTGGGGCCCTTATCTGCTTTGGTTTTTTTATTTCTGAAGGGGGGGGATTGAAAGTTTTTGGTTTCTAGGTTTATAAGGCTTTGGGCGCTTGCAAGCGCAGGCCGGGAAGCCCAATTACAACTCCGCAAACTTCCACCCAAGGTGCTTGCTAAACCCTAAAGCCTAAACCCTAGGGCCTAGACCCCAATTACAGCTACCCGGGAACCTTTAAGTAGGGTTTCGGGCTTTGCACCGGCTGTTTGGTTTCTGGTTTCAGAGTTTGGGCTGAAAGAAGACGTGGGCAGGTGGGTTGGGCAAGAGAATAGTTAGGGGCGTCGACCACAAGACACGCCTGGAGGACTGCACAAGGGCCATGGAGTAGTTAGGACTAGTATATCTAGTTCCGGCAGCGCTTTTGCTGGACATGCTGATGGAGGCCCAGCTGGACGAAGCCACCTAGGTCCCGCCCAAGACGCTGGTCATGTTTTAACACCTTCCGGAGAGTATCGCAAGGGAAGCCAATTGTGAAGACGGGCGAGAAGGCTTGCACCCTCCAGCAGCTGGAAGCATCTGCAGTTACGTAGGTACTGCGTGTCCGACACTACTGAGATGTATGCTTGTGTCTCAAAGCTCAGACAGGGGCTTCAAGTATTCTTACGTATAAGTCTTTTCCACTGTAAGCCTTGATATAATGAGCTCCATTTGGGCTCTGGCAGCTCCCCTGCAGCCCGCAGTTTGGATTCACTTTGGCTGAGGGAGACGGCATTTCCTCAAGTTTCAGGGGCCACGAAGCCCGTAAACCTTGAGCCCTACCTGGACCCCACACGTATGTAGAAGAATCGCTTTTTAACATGTATTGGGCCATTCTTGTTGCCTACTTTGGGAGGGGGGGGGCTTTCGAGTTAGGCGGCTAGTTTCCCAGCATGCATCTGAGGTCAGCATCTACGAGCTTTGGCCACAAGTCTTCGGCGAAGTTTGCGCTTGCTTGCTGGTAGATGTAGAAGGTTGAGAATGGTTTAGCCTTGGGCGACATGTAGGGGACTCCGACATAAAGCCGTAAAGTAAGTGATATGTTATTGCATTCAGGGTGTCAAACAGTCAAACAGCCTTGTTGCAAACTCCTGTACTTCAAGGCCAGGTAACTGCACACGAGAACGAAGTCGCCAAGCCAGTTGCGATCCCAGAGGAAGTGTGTGGGGTTTGCGAAGGGGAACTAAAGGAGCGGGGAGGAATAAGAAGATGCAAGAGATTCTGCGATCGAACTTTGGCACTTGACAGCTCCACAAGACTGCAGCATCCATGCATGTGTGTGCATATGGAGTGTCACAGCGCGGCGCTCGAATCAACCTTCTGCTGGCATCATCCGAAGAGCACAGGAAGGAGGAGCTCGCTTCCAAAAGCACGTGGACAATCCGAACAAGGAGCCGTGAGCAGTCTGTCATCGAGATAAAGCAGATTTGCGTGTAGGGCTTACCCGTAGGCCCCTAAGTATTTCCTTTTTATGGTTTATATTTAGAATCCTATAAGGTAATCCCAAAAAAGAACACTTAGGGGCCTATGGATGGTGGCACCACCCCGAAGCCGCAGGTTGTGGATTCTGTAGGAACTTTTGCCAGCGTCGCCGAGCTGAACGGTGCCGGCATCAAAATATTGCATCGCATGATTGCCCTGCAGAAAAGAAGCAAAGCCCGCACCCCATGGCTTAACCGTCATGATCATTTTACCGGGCATCTACCGCTAGAAATTACCGTAAGCCGTAACCTTGGCACCATCAGCTGGTCTCAACAGGACGGCCGGGTGCTGACATCCATTGTCTCCTGGCGATTCTGTTGATGGGGTCTAGGGTTTGGGGTTAAGGGCTTGACTCGGTTTGACATGTTTTAACTGTTCCCTGTGCAGCTGGTCAGGACTGGCTTCTGCATCTCGGCCGTCATATCATAACTCAAGAGCCATACTCCATAATTGGAGAACGCAAGTAACAAAGTTCCACAACTCGAACTCCCACTGACTAGCTCACGTGAGCTGCGAAGAAGCGCGAAACCGTATCTTCGCCTGCGCCCTAAACTCTAAACCCTAAACCCGCCAAACACACCCTCCCAGCACCTAAACCACAAAGCTTAACGCCAAAACCCTAACTTGCGAATCCAGCACTGCACTACCTAAACGCTTGAAGAGAGGCACATTCCTTTTTTAGAATAATATATTTACATACTAGGAAGTGCATGTACAGACTAGAGAGCAAAAGCGCAAAAGCTATGCAAGCAAAAGGTCTACTTGAATTCTGGCGATCCTTGGGGTGCCGACGACGGCGGAGAGCTGCGCATGTTCCCGGAAGGTGGGCTTCCCTACCCTTCTACGATTCTTTCTGCGCTGTGCTTAGGGTACAGCATTTCAGGGCTTCAGGGTTCAGAGGTTTCGGTGCGTAGAAGGGTTCAGGACTTAGGGGTGTAGGGTCTGGTTGAAGTGGCAGCGTGGAGTTATGTACGTAGAAGATTTTCATGGATAACTTGCGGTCCTGGGAGCTTTGCAAAGAAGTCCCAAGCCGAAGAGCCCCAAAGCCTGTCAGACACCGTTTGAGGTATGCTTCCTATTCTGATGTTGGTGAATCTGTTTAGGCCTGCTGGCGACTGATGGGGTACATGTTTGGGGTGTGCTGCTGGGCATGCTGGAGCAAAAACGTCATGTGTGTGTGTGTGTAAGCCCCAAACCCTAAAGCCCTAAAAACCCTAAAACCCTAAAACCCCCCAAACCCCCTAAAACCCTAGTGGTTCCAAGGTGAACCGCCCTTGGATTTCACTCCTGAGACGGGCCGGCTAGTGCTTTTCTGGGCAGATCGGCTACCACATGAGGCCGGTCGCATACGGTTTAGGGTTTAGGGTTTTCTGGCATATAGCTCGGTTTCCCACAAAACCCATCTGCTTAAATTCAGGACGATTTCTCCAACTGATAGGAGGTCTTAACTTGATATCAGCTTTTTTCGTGCGGCAGCATGGTACTTGAGGTTGAGGCGAGCTTCAGATTCCGAGACCAAGTACTTGGCCTGAACGCAGATATCCCAGCACGCCCACCTACATGGCTCGAAAGCTCTGAGCCCATATAGGTTTAGGGTGCGGCATTTTGGAGTGTTGTTGAACCCTGAACCCCCCTAAACCCTCAACCAAGCCCTAAACCCAACAGCTCCTAGTACTTCGAAAGCCTTTTTCATGTAAGTAGTTCCACTTGGTAGGGGAGGGTGCGGAATTCTTGGGTTACAGAATTCAGCAGCAGAACTAAATCTGTCATTATTAAATCTGTCCATAGTATATGCAGCTGGTATCGTACTACGCAATGCAACTGCAAAAGAGGCTGGAGACAGCAACTTGGGCTTTGGCTACCATTTCCTGGAACAGAGGTTAGGGGCATGAGTGATTCGAAAAGGCCCTTGGTGTACAACAGATAGTATCTTTCATCGTAGTCTTTTGGAGCATATTATGGCATGTACTATACTATGTAGGGACTATGATTATGACCTTTTCAGCGCTCGTGGCTCTTTCATCCGAGCTCTATGGCTCGTGGTCACGAGAGGCCGCGTTTGTTTGTTGTAAGGGGTCAGAGGATACAGTACATTGGCCATAGGTAAGCTCTGTACAAGAGTCTCCTACTCCTTCCAATAGTGTGGGTAAGTCTTTTGGCCTTTGTCTTTCCTTACACTCTGCATGGCAAGGTGTTGCCTGCAAAACGGCGCCGGATGGCTTTGACATATTGGCTTCTGGGCACAAGTTCGAGGAAGGGCTCGGCGACCAGAGGGCTGCAGGGTGGGTACACTTTGTGCATAGAAAGGGGTTTCGGGTATAGATCAAGGACTTTCTGCACTGACATTGACTCTGACATGTAATCATGTTATCAACGACAAGGCCCGCAAGCAAGCAAAGCTGCTGGCTAGTTCGAGTTCCTTTCGACGGCTCTGTGCGTGTGTGTGTGTGTGTGCGTTTCCGTTACACTGGCATTTACAAACGCTCCGAAGCTTGAACCCTGAAGTGCCGACACATGGGCAATCCCTTCCTTCACTGACTTCACTGTTTGCAACTTCCCATGTCCGAAGCGCGGGGTCGCAAATGCAGAGGTTCCTTTCTGTGGGGGGCCTTGCAGTGAGAATCCTCCAGTCTGCTATGCTCCCTGGGTCTAAGGTTTAGGGCTCCATGAACATGTATAGCGCAGATTGGGGCCGCACGGGGTTCCTAGGTAGTATAGCTTTAGGGCCAAGGTATACAATTCTTTCGGTGCATGGACCTTCGGGTAGTGACGTCTGAACGAACTTAGGTGGTTCGACCGTGCCGAACGTGAAGCCAAAGTGCAAGAGCTTGTGGATGAGGCGGGGTACGCCGAGAGTTCCGGGTTTAGACCACTCAGTACACAATTGAATTCATGCAATCACGGCTTCTACTTGCAGGGTCAACCCTAAAGCACCAAGCTCCTGACGTTGGGCTGAGTGAAGTAGGGGCTCCTTACACTAGGTTCCCCAGCAGTACCCTTTTGCCATGTTTTTCTTTCTGGGTTTTCTTGTAATGGTACTACAATATACCCTAGTACCCTAAAGCCGCCCCTAAACCCTATAAACCCTAAACTGCCTAAACCCTGAACCCTGAACCCTAATCCAAAATTAGACGCCAGAGGTTGGGAACCAGCACCTGAACGTCTCTGAGGAAAGCATGGCTCAGGATCGGAATCCGGCGGTTTAAGGCTTAGGGTCTTCACCGTAGGGTCCTTAACAGGGTTTGTTCAAAACGGCTCTTCAAAGGTTTCTGTAAGTGCGGCTATAACGGCTTCAAAGAGGGGTTTATGATGCAGGATGTGGGGGCCTTCATCATTATAACAGTGTCTTGCGGCATATGATTATTGCACTTCTTCGACGTCAAGGAACCCGAAGGAAAACATAGGAAACGTATTTCCCCCAAACCCTAAACCCCCTCAACATCAAGGCTTGGGGTTTGGGAGTCTGAGCCTTGGTGTTTGGAGATCCCACGGGTTTTGGGGGCTTCGGGTTGTGGTTCCTGGAGTTGGCGATGTAGGGCCTCAGCCCAGTTCTGCACAGACTTTGGACCCCGCCGCAGCATCTGGCAAGAAATGTGGTCCTTCTTTCCAGGGAGGTCCAGCCGGGCTAAAGCTTCAAACGGCTTCCTCAGTGGGATGTAGGTTCATCATCTTCAGTCACGTGTCTTCGCCTGCAATCCTAAACTTAAACCCCTACATAGGCCATAACCAAAAACATGAAGGCCCTAAACTGCTCATAAGACTCGGAACCCAGGACTTCTGAATCCCAAATCCTGCCAAATCGTATAATTTAAGGGTCTTCCCCCCCTCCATGACTTTGTCGCGTAACCCTTATATCAGTCGTATGGCATCCACAGCTAATAACTCTTATGTCAAGATGGCAGGACTTCATTGCTTTCATGCTCAGCGCCTCGCCTTGTTGGCATGTTGTTGACCACGGCCATCGTTGGACTGCTCGCGGGCCTTGGGGTTTAGGGCTTGGGGTTTGGGGTTTATGGTTTAGGGTGTTTTGCTACATGGCCACTGGCAGAACTTGATACTCCTTGGATTCGTAAAGTTGGTCTACAAAGAAAGAGTTGACCTTTTCGGGAGGGGGGATGATGTTCCTGACATGTGAGTGTGGCTAGAGGTAAGGTAGGGAAGTGCTGGCTGTACAGAGTTCAACAGATTCAAGCCCCTAGCCCCTACAAAGTGTAAGTTCTGAACCCTCGAACTCATTCAGCACTGAGTCGAGGGGGTTTGGAAGTCTTATGGAAGGATGAAGAAGTGACTCGAAGCCCCAAGACTTTGAAATACAGCCCCCTTTGCTAAAGACTGCAAGAACCGGGAGTTACAAGTATCCTTATCATCCGTATCATGCTTTGTCAGAAGTCAATAGCGAAATCACGAGTTTCCTGTAACCTGACCTAGCACTTTGCTTACCATGCCCCCTGGTCCTTGAAATAGTTGCCCGCCCTCAAGCCCCAAACCCTATATACAGCCCCAAGGTGACACATCGACCCCGGCAGAGATTGTCCGCAAAGCGCACACACTTCCCGAGAAGGCTCTGTCCACTGTGGCCACGGTTGCTCCTTGGCTTCGAGGGTTTAGGATTTTGAAGACCTGGCAGGAGTTGAGTGTACCCATAGGCTCCTTAGTAGTTCCTTTTTGGAATTACCTTATAGGTTTCTAAATATGACCCATAAAAAGGAACTACTTAGGAGCCTATGGGTAGTTAAGTGCATGATCCGACGAAGAAGAAATTCAGAGTGCCGCACATGGTATTGCGAGTATTGCAAAGTTTTCATTGCCGAGCGAGGTCTCCAGAAGGTAACGATAGCGCTTGCAAGTAGGGTTTAGGGTTTTAGGGTTTATAGGGTTTAGGGTTTAGGCAAGTATGTAGAAAAGATATCTTCGCAGGTTCCACAGCACCACAGACTACAGATATCTCTGCCATGCAGCCCTCTCTGAGAGGAGGTCTGAGGTGGTGCACAGTGCAAACCTTGCCATACATCCTGAGTACGGTGAAACTGAATCATGGAAGCTCAATGTCATCCCCCTAGAACTGATCTTCTTCAACTGAGGTTCGGGAGCCCTTATCATGATAGCATTTGTTTTCTCGGAGCCTGAAGTAGCGGCTTGCTTGTTAGAAACCCAGTTAACTGTAATGTTAGATCACTGTTTTCGACCATAGCAGCTTCTGTTCTCATATTGCATACGACGGTGTGAAGCAGGCTTTTGGCTTTGGGGGAGGTCTCTTGGAATTCCCGCACTTCGTCGAAGGCCTTGGGGTCTATAAGGTTTAGAGCCCTAAACCCTAAGCCGTTTAGGGTTTTTGGGGGGGGTTAACTTTGCTGTTAGCCGTTGGAGGCTGTGTCTTCCTTTGCTTGCCGACTTGGAGCTTAGAGCCTTCGTCGTCAAAAACTTCAAGGTTTCAATGTCCGTAAACGTCCAAGCCCTAATGTAGCTCTAGTGCAATGTGGCCGAAACCCTCTTCCAATTCGCCATTGTACGGGTCCATGTAACCATGAAGTAGTGCCTGAATAGGTACTTGGGGGCCCCCCAACATGTACTATTTGGCTGGATCACGGCTTTTTCTTTTGGTCTCCCTGGCTCTCAACTCAACCCTAAAGCCCTAAAACCCAGAAGCCCTAAAGCTTTGAAGCCCTAAGCCTTAAACCCCAAAACACTCTAAACCCTAAACCCTGCACGTCGCCGCCACGCGCGGGCATTTGCGGTCCTCGCTTCAATCCTACCGAGGTCGGCGCGTCAGGTGCTCAGGAGCCTCCGCTGCCATTTTGTTTAATACCCCAAGGGTCCACAGGACCCAATAATAAGGTACTTTGGTTGCGGATAGTAGATATCTAGGTTAATATTAATATTTGGGAGAGTATATGATTATCAGGTACTTGGACCTTTAGGGATAGGATTCCGGCTTTGGACGGTGTAGGGCTTTGGGTTTAGGGACGGGCTTAGGATTTAGGATCTATATAGGGTTCCAACCCAATTTAATTATTTGCAGGTTTCTACACAGTCTTCGAGGGATAGTTTTTTCAGGGCTTTTATCAAGATTTACAACGGTCGTCTAAGGTCTTTGGGCATTGCCAAAGACTCCACAGCCCGCTTGTCTCAGCAATGTATGCCACTTTGTGTTCGGGACGCCTCCCAACTACGGAGCTTCTCACAATCTCTCGGGAGGGTGGGCATAAGCCCGTTGCCTCTACAGAGACACCTAACGCTGTGACTGTGTATCCCATAAATTTCAAGCTGTAGATCCTAATAAACCCGAAAGCATACAGTGCAGCTTCGGCAGAGATGCCAAGACAAGGATCAAATGACTTGAGGTTATAAGGGCTGGGTTTGCCGGCGTCATCCAGAGGGCGCGCTGTTTGCTCATTGATTATTTCTTAGCTACGCAGAAGCCCTTGGTCCTTTTCATTTGTTCAGGATTGAAGACTCAACCCCCGGCCAAGGTTCTCTGCTTGGGTTTTCTAAACGCCGGAGTATCAGCATCATCATTATCATGTTCATCATCATCATCAGCATCATCATCATCGTCACCTCATGACCATCACCATCATCATCGGCAGCATCGACATTAGCAGCTTCATCGGGACTAGACTCACAGATTTCGGCCTTAGCCGCCTTGAACCCTATAAAGCCCGATACTTTCAACCCCTACATTCCCTAAAAAAACGTTTCCCCTTAGCAGCCCCAAGCCCAAGTTCACCCTAAACCTCAAACACCGTCGTAAACATATAGTCCCCACCCTACAGCAAAATGCCAGAATCTACTTTGGTGTAGGCTACGCCGAACTCCATAATAGGGTTTACGATGGGACGCTCCCAAAAATCTAGCTTCCTAGCACTCTAGCAGCTTGAGTCTGTCAAGGCATACACCTCAAAGTCCTCCGACTCCAGGAAGCGCTGGAGGGCATCGGGCGGCTCAGGGACTCCGATCTGAAGCGTTTGCGCGGCTCCATGGGCAAGATGGGGCTGCAGTAGCCCTGGAAGTGTTACTGGGGTCCGAGAGAAGCTGGAGGTTCCAGATTCCAATGATCCTGATCCTAGGTAGAATTCGGGACACACCCGAAGGGGATCCTTCTTAACCTTACTTTATGGCGCTCTCAACCAAGGACTTTACTGAGAGGGTCTATACATCCAAAGGGTCCCCCTTAACCTCACTCCGACCTGAGTCTGAGTGACTTTTCACTGAACTCGACACGCTCCTAAATCCAAAGCCCTATAAATCTTGTATACCCTGAACCCTAACCCTTCAACCCTTCTGGCAGTACCTACTGAAGAGCAGTCGGAGAAAAGGAATGCAAGCAAGAGTTTGAAGCCCCAAAAGCTGGAAACCCTAAACCCTAACCCCCAGCTGGAAAACCCCAAGCTTGGGCTGCCAAACCCTCAAGGCTGTGCTGTCAAGGCGGGCCTTTTAGAGGAAATCCTCGGCTTCCAGAAAGCCTAAACCCTAAACCCTAAACGCTACCTTACCGTGCTTCCCCAGGGTCCTTAAAAGTAAGGATCCGACGTGTTCGGTTTTGTTGGGGCCTCTTAGTGACTTAGTTTGTGAAGCCGCCATATGTCCAGGGTCCTTTGTGAAGTTGCAGGGTTTCCAAAGGCATCGGGTCATTCATACCCTGAGCTACCATAGCCTACTTCTTCGTTTGTTCTTATTATCAATACGAATATGGAACCTATACGGACGCCACAAAAACCGTAGGTTTTGGTATGCCAAGGCAGGATTCAGGATTCCCACAGTTATGGAGGCTTCTGGCCATCACAGTGATCAAGCATTGATGGGGCTTTGGGGTCGTTTATAAAGCTCAAGGTGTTTTGGATTATGGTCTATTTGAGTCTTGCGGGTGCTCCATTGTTCGGGCTGGATATTTGCAGCCTGTACATAAGACCTCTACGACATTCTTGGGGAACCTTTCGCAAATCCTGGCTGACCTCTACGCAGGTCTCAATTACGGGGTTCTGTTGCGCTCAAAATGGGGTTTTGAAGATACAGTTTCGGGGTGGCAGGTTTCGCGCTGGGTGTTGGGCACCTCGACTCATGGGATTTAGCAGGTAGGTAGGTTAGGCATTGCCTGGTTGTCTTACTTACAACCTCACTTGACCGAAAGAGTGGTTATGCCGCTGGTGGTCCGACTTACAAACGATCTGCGAAGTGCCGTGACCGAGAAATTTGACCCCAAACCCTAAAACCCATTAAGCCCTAAACCTGCGACACCCTGAACCCGAAGCCCTAAACCCGGAACCCTTTCGGCCTGAGCCCGAAACTCTTTAGGTCTAAGCAAATCGGGATTGCAGCCCTCGTTGCGATCGCTTAGCCTCTGACCTGCCACAAGAGCGGAGCAGATGAAAACGTCGAAAACTCGGGGGGCTGAGGGGATTCGAGTTTGCCCGAAGTGCCCGAGATAATCACTGGGGCTTAGGGTAGGGTTTAGAAGTTTAGGGTTCAGGGTTTTATTCAGGTTTAGGGTTTAAGGTTTAGGGTTCAGGGTTCCCCTGCCGCACATTGCATCAAACCTCGGTACTCTCAAGCGAAGAAGCCGCTTTCCGCACTTCCACGCTCCAAGCTTTATATCTCAACTACAATCTTTCAGACTCGCCGTGCAAAGCCCGAGATTCTAAGCCGGACACACCCTCAAAACTCAACCCCTCACCCATCCATCCTGAACCCCAACCCGGTCCATCTTGAATCCTACCGAGATTCAAGCTCGGTTTAGGGCTTAAGGGCTTACTTAAAGGTGTAGGGTTGCGGGTTTCTGCGCCAAAGCCCGGAAGCCCGATAGTCCAGCAGCCATCAGCAAGAGTTTAGGGTTTAGGGTTTCTGGATAGGGTTTGGGGCTCAGGGTTTAGGGTTCAGGGTTTCTGGATAGGGTTTGGGGGTCAGGGTTTAGGGCAACAACTAGTAAACTAGCACGACCAAGATCAGTGCAATCCTGAACCCAAGGCCCAACTTACCAGAACCAAGAGAGCATCGAACCAGCCTGGCGCCCAACAGCCAGCTTTGCCCCTAAAATCAGTAGCCCAGAATCTATTCCCAAGGGCTTTAATTGTTTCAAGATATGTTTTTCAGCATACCGTTATGGCATACATGGACCCAAACAGTCCCTTGAACCTGGCTAAGCAATGCTCTTCCTTTAGGAGCCATTATATATCTAGCGAGCAACTGCCCTTAGACAGACATATAGACAGACTCAAGCCCCCGCACGGAAACAAGAGCCTTTTCCCTAGCTGAGCCTCTGATATAAAACGCGAATATTCAAACACATCGAAATGCAAACAGAGGCATGCAAGCCATTGCGAAGCAGCATAACTCATCGAGAAAGCAAACAGCACATGTGCGTGTGTGTGTGTATATTACTTTGTATATGCATGTATGTATGTTTGTTTGTTTGTTGGCATGTACGTATATATGCATGCATGTATGTGTATGTATATGTATGTATGTATACATATATATATATACACATATACATATGCATATACATATACATATACATATACATATACATATCTAACGCAACGCGTTCCCCAGTGCCTGGAGCAGGTCGAAGATCTCACGCTGCTCTTGCAGGAGGTCCTCGAGGCTGCTTTGCTTTGGGCCGAGACCCTGAGGGTGCAGAGGGAAAGCTTAGGGGCTTCAAAGCCCAAACTTATAGATTGAAGGAGGAGCTCGAGGAAGTTTCTATGAGGCTTCTGGGGGATTCCAGAAGGCTAGGGTTTTCAGGGTCCGGTGCCTAGGGTTGAGGTTTGGGCTAGTAGTAATTGCAGGGCAGTATTCAGGGAAAGGCTCCGGGGCATCTGGCTGCTGTTTGGAAGCGTCTTGTGGGCCCATGACCAGTTTCACAGTGACTTACTTCGGAGTTTTAGGATTTGGGGTTCAGGGATTCGGGACCAGTGCAAGGGATCTAGGTGCTTTGGCGGCTTTTTGGGGCTTCGAGATTCAGGGTGTGCGTTCAGGGCTTGGTGTTCGGGTGTTGTCGTAGTGATTGTGGTAGGATTTAGTGCTTTTGAGATGTGTTGCTTGGTAGGGCGGTTTTACGTTTTTAGGGTTTGGGCCATTAGCTGCTTCGGCTCCCATGTAGGATGAGATGACATGGGATGTTGGCAGCTTCGGGGATGCAGGCCATGTCGCCCTAGCTCTGAATATACCACGTCCCTACACCCTAGACCTGCACCCCTATGGGAGCTTCCGAAAATCAGTTTTGGGGGCCCTTATAATGAGGATCCTACTATTTGGGGTACTATATTAGGGTTCCCTGTTTTCGGAAACCCCCCCATATATACCTTTCAAAAATAGAAACTCTAAAACCTTGGCCTTAGACCATTGAGCCCCGGAGCTCTTCGGCACTACGGTTGATGATCTAAATCCTATCATCAACAGTACGAGAGACGCAAGTCCCAACTGGAACTTCCGGGCGCAGGCACACCCAGACGTGAATGCGGTGAGCTGTGGGGCCATTCTGAGCCGGTTGCCCAGGGGTTCTTGTAGATTTGAGAGCCAGGAGCTTCGGATTCGGTTTTTGGGTTTTAGGGTGTTGGGGTGCCTGTCATATATAAGAGTCATTCATGGGGTGGTTTCGATTAACTGCTTTGTGGGAAACAGGGATTGGGTTTCCAGAGTTTGGGTGGAGTAGAGCTTGGGGTTGTGGGATTGCCGCGAAGTTCGCGGCAAGTTTGCGGCTTCTTGAGAGTTAATAGTTGGTCGGCAGTGTTCTCAACATTACGTCTTTTACCTCTGGCAGTGTGGTCTCGAATTGTTAGGTTCAGAGATAGCTTTACACCGAACACGACACGCTTTTACATGACACAACATGTCCGGAGGACCCGTTTCGCAAACTTGTGTCGAAATCCTGCTCTCCAAGTTCTGCTTTCGAGCCCCACAAAGATTTCTTGCGCAGGCGACTACCAGCGCTGCCGTGCGCGGGCTCCCGGTCTGGGCTTGCTGTGAACTCTGCGGATCCTGTTCTTCCCCCATCCCCTGCTCTAGGACGGTGCCAATGCGTCCAAATCACATATAGGGTCCCACAGGGTTTATAGGGTTCAGAATTTAGCCGAAGCCTGGGGTTGATATATTGGCGTTCAGGGTATATCGGTTGGCGCCGAGTCATCGAGCAGCCAACCAGAGAGTTGGCCCAGCATCTAGCAGAAGAAGGGCGGCAGCGAGGTAGAGACGACAGCTGCAGTAGATGCGTCCGCGCTGCTAGGTCTTTTCGAGGTTTTGGGGTCGTCGGGATGTCTGATGGCTTCCACCCTCCGAGCGCAGGGTTTTTGCCCACACACCGTTTTTCCTTGCACTTGCACCCTGTACAGGGCCGTGGCTTTTGGGCTAAACTTCCAAACGGTATAGGACCGTAAAGAGCCCTTCAAACCACACATCGATGGACTCACAGAAGATCTAGCAAGAACAAAAACGTCAAGAACAGTACCACGACAAACAAGAACAACAAAGCCCGTCACCGCGATAACCAACAGTGGGAGCAATTCCACAAAAGAAAATAACACTAAATACGATATTCTCAGTAATACATCGTGAAAAACAATCGCAATATTTCTAACTTCTAACAGCCATACCAATAGAAAAGACAAGCGTTATGGCAGTATAGGCCGACAGCATCTCAGGTGGAGCACGTTTGTAGTCGGCTGGGCCTGAAAGTGTTGGCCTTCCTTTGGCGACAGGATGCAACCTTCGTGGCATTTGTTGAGATTGATTCAATACAGAAGCCTGAACTGTTAATAGCAGTATCCCCTTATGGTCCACACAAACATGGTATGAAGATACACCTCCAAAGACCCTAGATTAACTATTCAGATCCAAACACGACTTTCCCAAATATTCACCTACATTCCTACTCTCCTAAGCGCAAGCACCTTACAGGTGTGAGGTGCTGTGAACCCTAGGGGTTTGAAAGATTCCTTCAGAGGTTTTTAGGGTTTAGGGTTTTACCGTAGGGTTTAGGGTTTAAGGTTTAGGGCTTTAGGGTCTT